CAAATTGTTCATGTTTTACAGAGTAGTAAATTTCTTAAAAGTTCAAAACAGTGAATGCTTTTAGAACACCTTGCATACGTACTAGACACACATAAGGCTTGTACCTATCATATGCCATAGATGTACCGTAGACATACTATTGTATGTCATAGATATACCGATACGCCGATACAGGATAATTCATTTACACAACTACATAAACCGAAGTGGAATCCCCCCAGGCTACTAACCACAGGTGTGTTGGTGTGAATCCTTTCGAGGCTGCTTTTCCTAAGCAAAGCTGAAGTTGTAATCCAGGTCAACATGCTCCGATTTCTGTGTTCTTTCCATTAGATGAGATAATGTACATACGTTCTAGTAAAAATACTGGCATGTAGCAAGCACTCAATAAATATCAGCTGTAGTTTTCAGTTTTATTGTAGTAATTTTCAAATCAGGAGAGTTAGTTGGCAAATTAGGGACTTCAGAAATATTTCTCTCTCCTCACTGCACTGAGCACAGCCTTTGTGGACGCTGTTTGGGGAAGAGCCTCCGGAGGGTGGAGGGCAAGGAAGGCAATGTCGATTGCTGCCCAGGGGGTGCAGAGGAAACAAGGGGAGGAAGGGAGGCGTAAACTTAATGTATCAGGATGGGGAAGCTGCTCTCCAAGGCCATATCGATCCTAAAGGTAGCAGACAACCTCGACCCTCCGGCCGTTAGCGACGAGTGTCCCCGGCCGCGGAGCCTGTGACCGCCCGCATCAGTCAGGCACGCCTGCCTGCGCGCTCTCGGGGTATGGGGACCGTGCCCCCAGACAGGAGGCCTGGCCTGCCTCACAGCCCGGCCTCCTTCCCAGCGGCCTCTGCTCCCCCACCTCCAGTGAGGAACTTGCCCCTCGCTGTCTCCTGAGGCTGTTCATTCTGTCCTCAAGCAGCCCAGGGTTCTGGAAGGTTCTCTGTGGCACCCCAGGCCATACTTGCATTTAAAATTAACTGGGCCAGAGTATTGATCTCACTAATGCTTGCCTTCAGTCACAAATGGCACGGCTGACTGCTGTTCAAAAAGTAGGAGTTTCTCTACCCGTGAGTTTTCACGGGCTCTATTAGCCAATCGGGCGAGTCAGGCTGAAGCCAGCGGTTTCTTCCGACAAAGGGTCCAGCAAGCAGAGGTTTCCTTCGCCCCATCCAGCAGTGAGCTCTCTGTGTGAGGGGGTGTCCTTGAACCCAGGTCCCGCTGCCGCCGCTGCGAAAACCACTACCCGGGAGACAGGTGCTGATGGAGAGGAAGGCGGTTTGTTTTCAGGTGCCGGCCACCTGGAAGCGGGGGGACCCACATCTCAAAGCCCATCTCCCCCTCTCGGTGCCGACAGAAGTTTTTATCGGGAGGGAGAGGGAAGCAGAGCAAAGACACCAAGGGGAGGGGCTGCAAATCCTCCCGTGCCGACACGCACAGTCCTTCCGGCCGCTGAGTGATGGTCCCCTGTGCGTGCGTCATTCCGGTCTGTCATTTTGACTACGTCCTCCCGACTCTGCACTTGAAGGTCAGTCTGTATCCTTTGAAGCTGGTTCCTAGGATTCTTACACAAACACGCTGCTCCTCTGCAAGCTCCGTGTCGGTCAGGCAGCACTTGCAGAAGCCAGGCCAAAGGGACGGTGGGTGGACCCCAGTTCCCCACAGCCACAAGTGTCCCTCGTCACACACAGGTGCCCCCGGTCACCCTTTCTTCCATTCCTCAGGAAGTGAGGCGGCCTTAGCCAAGACCTTTAAGAAAATTAGAAAAATTCAGGATCCAGGGTAGTTCACAGGTGAAAAATAACATTTTAGAGCCATTGAATTAGTTTAATATTTATAACTATGTATAATGGATTCTGTTGAAACATAAATTTTTCTCCTAAAATCACTCTCGTTTTAATCAAAGAGCCAAATCAAGAGCAATCCATTTACTGTATTAAATGCAGTTTCAGTTCGACCTGATTATTTGCATGGACTCAGCAGGAACAGCAATTGATCGTTTCAGCTTTCCTGCATCTACTTTGCTGGAACGTTGCAAGGAATTTCCAGATCGACCTCTCATTAGCCTTTCGGGGCAAAGAAGCCACGCCGCACAGTTGTCATCAGCCTTTGCCTCAGGACCTGTAAGTCTGGGTAAACTCAAGCTCTCGAAGTCCCCAAAATGTCCTGAGGCTCTTCCTTGCCACCTCGCAGGAAAGCAACTTTCTCTTCTTCCCTGGAAAGGCTGCCATGAGCCACGTGGATAAACCAGGCCCTTTCTCCAGGGGGCTTTGGTTGGCTCCAGATCTTCGTTCTCACCTAAAGCTGTTCCCTGAGGTCCGGAGGCCAGGCCTGTCTCTCCGGACAGGGCATTCCATTCAGAGTCCTGGGTAATAGATCCACAGTTGGAAAGTGGAAGAAATCAGATTTCTATCGGATTCATGCAAGTAAACATATTGCTGTGAAAAATAATATATTCACTCATTAAGAGTTTCCAAGTTCTGAAGAAATCAGGTAGAAAGAAAAATAAAAACACTTCAGTATTGCTTCAATTTACCAAACTGTTGTTGGAAAACAAGTTTGGTGTTTTGTTGTTTTTTTTTAATCAATAAGTGTCACTTAATTTCACAAAATTGTAAGTGAATGAAGGATGCTCACATTTCTAAAACTTGAGAAGTGCTTCTCAGAATTCCAGAATGCCTGAAGCCCCCTCCCCTAGAAATGACGCAAAATGTTTAAAATAGTCTGGAATTTAGCTCTTTGACATAGTGAGCCCAGCTTCCTTCTTCAGATTGTCCTGGATTTGCAGGAGGCTGCAATGTAGTTCACAACGAAGCCCTGAACGCGCCGCAGCGTGGCTGTGCCCCGCGGAGAGGAAGCCAGCGGCGGGCGCAGGCCCAGTGCTCCCTGCGTGGGTGACCAGCGCGCCTGCGCTACGGTGGACACGTCCGGAGCCCGTGCCCTCGAAGGCTGTGGGTGTGGGTCCCGCCTTTGCTTTGGAACCTGTCTCACTGCGCCTGCCCCTGTAGAGCGCGTGTTTGACAGCGCGCGCGGGCCCTGGGTGCGAACCCGTCCCCTCTGCCCTGCGCTCCGCGCTGAGAGCCCTGAGCCCAGAAGGCTACGCTCACGTGGCCTGGTTTGAGAAGGTGCGCCTGCATGAGTTTTTAACATTCTTATCCATTCCTGTGAAGACAGAGTTCTTAAATTAAATTTCTACTGGGTGTTTTTCACTAGGTGCTCTGCGGTTTCGCATCGCTTTGCCGTGTCTGTGCCGAGCGGGTCCAGAGACGCTTGGGGCCGGGGCCGGGCCGGGGCCGGGGTGCGTGTCCTGGCCCAGCTCGGGACCCTGAGCCTCGCATTTGAAGTTTGGCTTCTCCCGCTCAACCCCGGTCCCTTCCAGAACCGGACGGCGCCCCCCGAGGGCCCCCAGCCTCACACCGGTCTGTGCTTGGGGCTCCCCCAGGCCTCTCACCCCCGCACACTCAGAGCCTTTCCATTTTAAAAGCTCTGCTGCTGGTCACTTCTGAAAAAACATCGAAAAGGCACTTTTTTTTTTTTTTTACTAGTCAAGTTACAATGCTTAAGAAAATTGTTTACAGAATCTGTGATCAGTTCTGGGATCTCTTTATAAATGATTTGTGAATTACTCGAGTAGCACAGGAATATGTAGTTGGTGTGAAAATGCGCGCAACCCTGAAGGACAAAGGGCACAACGTCCCTCCGCAGAAGTCCCTCGGCCCGCCGGGAGGGCGCGCACTCTGACACCCAGCCCGGCGCCCGGCCTCCGGCAGCCGGTAGGAGGGCACCTGCCGCTTCCAGGACAACGCACCCCCATAGATTTTCACCCCTTGAATGGGCGGGGGAAAGGCATTTCATGGTAGTTTGCACTTTTCTGATAATGGGGTTGAGTGTCTCTGTATTTTATTGTTGGGCCCTTTTCGGTGACAGAAACAAAGTCCTGCTGGGCTTCAGGGCAGTAACCGGCTCCTGCCCGGACCCTGTTAGGGGGACGGGGTCGCTCGCCCCCCGCGGGGCGCAGGCTGGGGTCCTCGGCTCCCCGTGCTGGGAGTGCTACCTTAGCCAGGAAAAGTGCCAGCCACGGATCGCCAGGGCCCCTGCGCCCTGCGCCGCTCTTCTCCCGCAGGTTTGGAGGCAGGTCGCCCGCCTATTTGGGCCGAGGTCTCAGAAGCTGGTGCCTCGGACGCACCTGCCCGCTCGCCATTCTGGGGCTCACCCAGCCCCTGCGGGTCCCATCCCCCCGGGTTCCGCCGCCCAGACACGAGAGGCCGCTCGGCCTAGATGGGGTGGGGGCTCTCTGCGCCCTGTGACCACCGGGGCCCAACCCGGCCCGTCCAGGCCGCGTGCACGGCCGGGCATCGGGGGCCCCAGCGTCGCCTGAGGATGCAGTGAGGCTCCCGCGCGTGGGTGGACCTCGCTCCAAGGACACAGCGGTCACTGGCCTGCGGCGTCTCTTTTCTGGGCGAGCCGGCCGCCTACAGGTCCCTTCCTGCCACCGCGACTCCGGGCCCCGGCGCCCCCGCCCCACGGCCGGCTACGGGCATGCGCACTGGCCCGCCTCGCGTCCCGCGGCCGTTGCCATGGGGACCGGAGCCTGGGAGCCCCGCCCCCAGCGCCAGAGCCCCGCGGACAAGGCCGCGCCCCAAGCCGGGTGAGGGGGTCGGCGGGATGGGGGCGGGGAGTCGGTGGGGGCGGAGCCTCGTCCTGGGTGGCCTGGCGGGGCGGGGCCTGGCCGCGGGGCGGGGTCCCCATGTGGGGGCCGGGGGCCTTGACCGGCGATTGGCCCGGCTGGGTTCGGGTCTCTGGCCCAGTCCTTGGGCGCAGGGTGCATAGGAAGGGCCGTGGGCCCTGTTGGGGCCGGGGACCCCGTCCCGAGTGGAGGTAGGGACCCGTGGTGGGTCGGGAGTCTGGGTGGGTAGGGGGCGCAGGGCGGGTCCGGGTCCAGGAGGGTGATGTGGCCCCGCCCGCCCGTCCCCGCCCGTCCCCGCCCCCCTCGCCGCGTCCCGGCCCCACAGGAGCCGCCGCCCGAGCTTCCGCGCGCTGCGCCCGGCCGGACAGGGGCGCACGGACGCGCGGACGCCGGAACCCGGCCGGAGCATGTGGAAGCTGGGACGCGGCCGGGTGCTTTTGGACGAGCCCCCCGAGGAGGAGGACGGCCTGCCTGGGGGGCCGACGCCCGCCGCCGACGCCGCCGCGGCGCAGGTGAGGGGCACGCAGGTGGGGGGCGCGCAGGTGAGCCTGAGGCCGCGCAGACGGTGGCGCGCAGGTGAGGTTGCGCAAGAGCGGCACACAGGGATGGGGGCTCACAGGTAACGGTGCACAGGTGCGGCCTGGGACCCCCGGCCCGTTAAGATCCGGGGCCCGCCGCCGTTGTCCGTCTTGTCCACCCCCACACGGGGTCGGGAACGCGGGGCAGGAGACGGGGCACCTGCGACGCCGGCGCGTGGCCGCGGCCTTGCTGCTGCGGTGGAGGCTGCGCGGGACCTTGGCAGGTCTCCCACGCGGGGCGGAACAGCGGGCAAGGCCTGGGTCGCTGGGAGCTGCGCGCGCGCGCCCGCCCGGCCGCGGGACCAGAAAGCTCTCGGCGACCACAGCGGCGTGCCAAGTGGACAGAACACTTGTTTGGATAACAGCTATTTCCTTTTCTTAAACCTTTGATTGTCTGGAGGAAGGAGGCAGATGACCTTTCTACAGAAAACAGAGACACCGGCCCTGCAGGTTCGGAGACGCGCTTGGAATGCTCAGAATTCGCTCCCTGAAGAGGATCCCAGGCGGATCCTCCGTGTGGTGCCTGAGCCCCCTCCCCCCCTCCCCCCCGCCGCTTTTTTTCCGATGCGCATTCGCCTGTTCCTAACCTTTCACGAGCTCGGGAATTCAGGTCAGAAATTCCACGCTCTCTTTGGAAAGGTGGTCAGAACATTTCTTTTTTGCCAAATGTTTGGAGCCTGCTGTTGGGTGTGAAGCGGCTACGGAAGTGAGCGATGATCCATGTCCTCTGAACTTGCGAGGGGTTTACCGGTTGTTTCTATTAACCAATGAATGGGATTCAGCTTTTAAATGCCGCTCCTGTCTGAACTTCTATCAGAAATTACTTTTTGAGAGGATTAGTGCCTACTGGAGTTTTTTATCTTTTCAATTTCAAAATGTAACGACGACAATTTTTATGTGGTTACAGAGCTATTTAAGACTCTAAATGACTATTGTTGATCAAAGATAAGCAATGTTATTCTTATGTGAACCCTTTAAAATTTTAAATTGATCCTCCCGTGTCCTGCTTCGGTTTCTCCCGATGAAGCCTAAAAACGTGTTTTTCCTCAAGTTTTATTTTGAAAAATTTCTAACCTAAGGAAAAGTTGGAAGAACAGGAGACTGCACAGCAACGCGTACTCCATCTAGATTCAACGGCTGGTAACGCATTTATGAAAGTTTTTTTCTGGTCTTCTAGTTTACAAAATTGTCTGTACTCTTTTGCTGTGTCCTTTTTATGTGTGTTTTATAGGTGATTTGTTAGGCACCCAGAAAAACGGAGTGGAGAATACAGTGTCCCCCTGTGCCCTCTGCGCCTAAAAGCACAGCGCCCCCCCCCCCCCGCCCCCCGCCCCCCCCCCCGCCCCGACCCAGGACCCCATTCGTTGCAATCGTGACGGCCCCAGACCACAGGTTACCTTGGCGCAGATTCTGACAAATGTCACATGAAATGTACCCGAGATTGTAACGTCACATGGCCCTAAAGACCTGCTTGTGCCACCGACTCATCCCCCCCCCGCCCCCCGCCCCCCCCCGCCGCCCCGCAGCCCCTGAGCTGTCACCGCGCCCCTGGCCTCGCCCCCTCCGGGAGGTCTCGGGGCTGGGCTCACAGCCCGCGGCCTCCCAGGGTGGCCCTTTCCCTCGGTCACATGCCTGTCACAGGCGCCTGCGCGTCTTCCGGGGCCCGAGAGCCCGTTTCTCCTCGGCGCTGATGCCATCCCACCGCCTGGTGACCGCGGTTGACCCGCTCCCGCCGACGGGCGCCCCGGTTGCTTCCGAGCGGCCGTCGGGGCGGAGCTGCTGGAGACGTGTGTGCGGGCCTTTGTGTGGACAGCAGTGTTCCGCTTGGACACGCTCCGGGGCGTGCGACGCTGGGCCGCGTGGCAGGAGTACGTTTGACTGAGAGAAGCCCCCGCGCGCCTTCCGGGCCGGCTGCCCCGCCTGCGCTCCCGCCGGGACTGCGCGAGACCCCGCTGCCGCCCCGTCCTCGCAGCGCGGGGCCTTCCCTCCGACAGGCCAGTGGTGGCCTCTCTGCGGCCGCAGAGTGCGCCCCCCGGTGACAGGCGGCGTGGGGTCTCTCCGCGGCCTCGGTGGGCTCCGCGCGGTCTTCCGGGAGGTGCCTTGAAAGGCCTTTGGTCCCGCTTTTCGCGGAGTCTTCTGTTTTCTTCCTGTTGAATTTGAAGGGCTCTTTGGTGTTTTGGAGAGCAGTGCCAGATCAGATGTGTCCGTTCCACGTATTTTCTCCCGTGGCTTGTCTCCTCCATCTCCTGACAGTGTCATTTTCGGAGCAGGAGGTTTTCATTTCAGTGACGTCAGGGCATCAGCTGTTTCTTTCGCGGACTGTGTCTTTGGCGCGGAGCCGCCGCCCACGTCGTCCGGGTTTTCTCCTGTCGTGGCTTCTAGGAGTGAGACCCCACCGGCTGGGCTTTACGTTTCGTTATTAAGGGTGCCTATGTTTTAACGTGTGGAAAAACTCTTCTGTAGAAAAACGGACTTTGAAAAGTCATTGTGACAGGGTAGTCCTACTCTAAATTTAGTTAATTGCTTCAAGAGGACTGGTCTTTCCTGAAAGCCAGTTTCTCTCGAAAATAAATTTGACAATTCCTGACAAGTCTACCGTGACACTTCTGCCTACAACATTCCACGGTAAAGTTGAAAGAAGGAGGAACTCACGGATTGTTTTGCGTCCAGGTCTCATCGGACGGCGTTCTCGGTTCTCACCCTCAGACTTCCAGGCGCCCGCCTGCGCCCGCGCGCACCCGCCGGCCCGCGGGCCCCCGACACGGCGTCCCGGGCTGCGCGTGGCCGCACCCCACCAGCGGGTCCGTTTGCATTCGGATCCGGGGTGCTCCACTTCCTTGAAAATCAGGCCACACAGCTCTAATCTGTGTTGTTTTTAAAAAGAAAAAGTAGCTTAATGTTAGGTTCTAAGACGTTTGAAATGCAAGGCATTCCCATCGCTGGGACGAAGGAACACTTGACTCCTCCTGAAACCTCGTAGCTTTAACGCCGTGGAAGACGGACTCCTGGGAGCGTCTCCTTAGGCCGTCGCCCTTTTCTTGTCAGGAATACACATCTCCTTCCTATGCAGGTGAAACATCGAGGTTTACAGGTGAAACAGTCATTGTGATTCTGTAACAACAAGGAGAGACTTGCAAGTTTTAATGAGTCTCATGTTATTTAAAAAAACAGCTGCAGTGCACACAGCAGAAGCCCCCTGGGTGTTCAAGGTTAGGCCTCAACTTCTTTGCCGTGGGAAGTATTGTTACGCTTTCTGTAAAGTGACCCATGAAACCCTGGTGTGTACGCGTCAGCCTGTGTTTAAAATCACACATGTGCTTTCGCACCGCACACACTCCCCCGCCCCCTCAGGGGCTGCGTCACAGCGCGGAGGCCCCGGCGCGGCTGCGGGCGGCGGGGGGGGGCCTGGGGCCGGGGGCCGGGGGCCCGGGGGCCCGGGCCCCGGGCCTCCTGGGGCCTCTCCCGCCGGCCCCGCCCCCAGCCCCGCGGGCGGCGCCGTGGGAGGCGCGGGGAGGTCCGTGCCGGTGCCCGGCCCCGGCCGCTGCGGGCTGGGCGGCACCGGAATTTAGCAGCTTCAGCTTAATGCCTTGAAAAGCAAGCCTCAGAGAATTTTTGGCATATTTTCACGGTAGAATTTTAAGAGCTGAGGCATACTCCGTGGGCACCCCCCCAGGACAACCCGGGGCCACTTCCTGTCTCCGTCAATCCCCTCGGAGGCAGGAAGAGTCAGGGCGGGGGGCCTTGCCCTGGGAGCGCGCCCGGAGCGGCCGCTCGAGGCGGGGTCAGCGGGGCCCTGAGCCCCAGGGTGGTGGCGCGCGGCAGTGGGGGCCGCTGCTCCCGGTGGGCGCCGGGCACGTCTGAGCCTGTCGCTCTGTGTGGGCGTCACCCGGGGAGGCTAAGTCACACAGTGATACTGAGGTTGCGGGGCCTAAGGGTGTAAAATCCTAATGGATGAGATGCGTTTTTAACAGGATTTTCCTAGAGGTTGGGGTAGCAGGACCTAAGTGTTGGTTTAGAAAACTCCATCAGTCGGCCCCCTCGAGAGGGAAGACTGGGTTTTGCTGTGGGTGAAACTGAGCAGAGAGGAGCCCCCCTGCCCCGGCCCCCCCCACCCCCCAGCCAAAGGCTGTGGCTGCCTGCGCTGAGCCCACCTGGCTCCGACCCCCCAACCCCCGGCCCGGGAGGTGAGGCCAGGGGTTGGGGACGGGGTTTGCTTTCTTCGGGGTTGCTGCCCGTGTCCGGTCTGGGGGCAGGTGCACGTGGAGGGCCAGGAGGCCCGGAGGCGCGGCGAAGCTCAGGGTGGCGTGACTCTGCCGCTTGCGGGTGAGACGGGACGCGGACCGGGGGCCGCCCCCCTGGCGATTGTGACGTCGCTGCCTTGCAATAGGACTCACCTGTACCTGCATCCCAGGCACTTGGGGCCCTTAGGCAGCTCTGTGAAGCCGTGTCCTCGCACCCACATTTCTGAGTTTAAACTTCTTCCCTTACAGGTTATGATAAATTCGTGATTTCATTTTTCTTCATTTGTGGAATATTCATATTTTGTATTAAAACATACTAGGGCTTCAACCGCCAGCCCCTTGGAGCGGTGTTGATGGAGTTGTGTTTTGGCTCAAATCCCAGTGCAGGCAGTACCGTGGTGCGCGCGCGCGGTCTGTGGGGCCGGCGCGCTGGGCCGGAACCTCCCCGCGGGCGCACGTGGGTGTGGGGGGCGGGCGGCGTCCTGCCTCCCTCCACACGCTGCTCTCGAGCCCAGTTCCCGGGGGGCCGCGGCGTGGTGGGCACGCAGCTGCGGGAGGAGATGGCGGAGCGGGGCTTTGGGGGCAGGGCCCCGGTGGCCTAGGGGACGGAGCACTGTGGCTGGGGGTCGGGCTGTGTGCGGCCGGTTTGCATCTTGGCTCGGTGCGGCTGGGGCCGCAGCCACCCCTTTGAGA